TTTCTAAATTGTAATTTTTTGTCGAAAAACAAATTAAAAGAAACGTCAGAAAATTGTTATTTTATGTGTTCTTAACCACACCACGCCCGTTTTGAAAAAAAAAAAACAATTAGTAAAATTATTGAGTTAAATTTCCATCGTAATTCTAGTCTTGGAGGATTTTTGAAGGAAAATTCCAAAAAGTTGATTTTCCAGTATGTTAAGGATCATCCTAATGTACATACCAAATAGCTGCGTTCCAGATGCTTCACGATTTGCAGGTTTTTACAGGAAGCCGTTACAGGTAACCACCTTCCATAAGGTTTATTAATGAGAAAACATCAATCCTGTAAAACCTGCAAATCGTGAAGCATCTGGAACGCAACTTATAAAAAATGCACCAGTGTGTCTCTGATGGCCGCAATCTTGAGGTCCAATCCCGTATTCCTCGGACTAAAATTAGTCAAACTGTCAGAAAATAAAAATTCGCTCATAGCGAGAGAGTAACGCTGAAAAGTACGCCGTACGCTCTAGACAAATATTAGTTGGTGAATTTTTTCGACACATTACCGGGTACACTATACGCCGAAGAATAATGATTTAGATTTCTGCGCGGCGAACAGTAGCCCATAACACAATATGTAGCGCCATTGTAGTCGTAAAAAACACTATAAACCTAATGGGGATTTCGTTTCAACCAAAAAATGACGCCTTTTGATTGTTCCTTTCTTTTTTGTGTTCGATTTTAAATTAAAGGCGAAGGGTGAGAAAATATTTTATTCGTTTTTTAAAATGCCACTCTCTTGTAAGGCAAAAATGGCACATTCTCTGCCCTGTGAAGCTTTGTCAGGGGAGATGGTTGCCCTGAAAATCAGATGGTTGAGTGTAACATCAAACAAATTTTTGCACCGGGAATGGGCAACATTTTTTGGAAGAAACCAAATCACCATAAGAATTATTCCTCCAGTAATTTAGCATCGTTTGCCCAAAAAATCTCGTTTTTGAGTTGTGACAGTCTTTAAANGCCGTATAACCACAATTGCTTTCCTACACATAGGGTAGTGTGTGTCATACACTACTTATCGTGACCTTAATTCACAAAGGCCTTAACCAACCAACTTTTTATTTTACAGGAGAAACAAAAAACAACATAAAAATCAAATCATGTATAAGTATAGGACGTTTTAAAAAGTGGCATAACTCCGTTATTTTTGGTACTGACACTTAAAAATTTTTAGTGAAGGTGTATTTTAAAATAACCTTGGAAAATCTGTGAAAAACGCAGTTTCGAAAAAAGTGTTGGTTAGGATCTTTGTGAATTAACGAATACCAAAACCAAACGACAAAGAATTGAAAAAAAGCTTCGATCGAACCGATAGAAGTATACGTACATTTGTATATGTGTGTGTGTATATCGAAAAATTACGTGGATTGTCAATCGATATGCACGCAAATCAAATTCACACAAATGTTTATATACGTATATGTACATATGTACGTATACATACGTATATATCTTTTTGTACTTACGCACCTACATACATATGTAAATTATTTACTCTTAACAGAGAGCTGTTAATGAAACCTACATATGTATACAGAAAGAGAGCATTTAATTGCTTACGTGTATGTAAACTTAACAAGAAATAATTTTTTATTTCATCAAAAAGGACTTAAATATGTATAGTATATATTAGAATATGTCAAATTTAACCACTTTAAAAAAGGCCATTACTATACTTAGTTTAGTGAAAATATTATAAGTTTTAAGAATATTAGCTTTATAATAAAGAGAACCATTTTGAAATATGAGCGTTTTTAATCTCTAGAAAATAATTTACATAAACTGGTTGACATTTTTCTTTTGATTTTCTTATCGACAAAAAACTTATAATTAAACATTTTTTTTTTTAGTATAAGGGAGGTTTAAAGCAGTAGGTACTAATGAGAACAAATTGTGGAAAATTGAACTCCAATTAATGGCGGTGTACTTTCCCCCGAAATTTATGTTCGGGCGTTACTCAAAACGTAAGCGATTTTGAGATGACCATAAAGACCATAATTACTCAAAATGTAAACGATTTTCATATGACCAAAATGACTATAATCCTTACTCCACGTCTTCACCTTCCAGCTGTGTTAAGACAGAAATGTCAGGTGGAGACCACAAATTTCCACTGTAAAACCATATCTGTCTTGCCGAATTTCGCTGTCTTACCATCAAGTGTCATTTCATAGTATGACAGCTGAATTTTCATTTTACCGCGCCATTTACACTGGATAGGTCGATCTGATTGACTTGGAACACTTTTGAAAATGAAATGTTAAAGACAGCAAGTTGCCCACATGAGAAAATGGGACAAAGTTAAAACAGAAATTTGGCAGATGTTAAAATACATTTATTAGAAGATGGAAACGTGGGGTAAGATATTTTTCTTTCTGTCGACGTTTGCGTTAATCATATAAAACTATTGTCTAAGAAGACCCTTAATAAAATTTCACGAATTATAATTTCTGCGGCGGCCACTGAAATGCTTTTTTTTATTGGATCTCAAAAAGAAAATCTTCCGCGGAAAATTTTACTACATATTTTTTACCGAACCAACTATTATGCGCAGACGTCACCTTTTTAATTTTTAAGTCTTTCAAAAACTAAAATAAAAACATTTTTCGTCCAGAAAATCTAAAAATCTTAGAAAAGGTGGAGCAGGACGTGGTTTCGCTTGGCATTTTATATTGACGTCAGTTGGCACAGAAGAGAGACGACTGGCGTGTTGTTTTGGACTCGGGCAAAATCGCTTAAATAGCCGGTTACAGCGCCCATAAAAAGAAGAATACTACATTTACTAGCCATAAACGAAAATTTGTTTGTGTATACATATATTCACTTGTCGGTGCTGTCAATTGAAATTTCCTCAACTAAAGAGGAAAAAAAAACAAACAGAGTTGATCACAAATTGAGCCAGATTTCTATCAGTATCACATCGATATTGAGTTTGCGCAACTTTTCTTTTTCCAAATAATGTACAAAGCAAGTTAATAAATTAAATCTCAATCGGCGATCACTGAAACGCAGCTAGCAACTGTATACGCGAAAAAACAATATTGCCACTTTTTTCATTAAACCATGTTCGAATCGTGGAAAAGTTTTGATGATCACAGGGTTGCTTTTAGCATTTAAGCTGATGCCAGATAAAACTTTGTAGCTTTGCGTGACATTTATAACTTTGCCAGCAAAGCGCCAGACGCAAAAGGTATGCCACAATGAACGCCAAGAAAACAATGTTGTACCGCTTTTTTACTCATCAAAGTTGCTGTGGATTTTAATTATTTTGATTTAAAATTATCAGCAATGTAATTAAGTTTTATGTTTCTGCATGAAAACCCGAATTTGGACGAAACAAAATAAATATTAAACCGGCTGATTGTCAAAGCGCGCAAAAAGATGGGAGTTGACCATCTTTTCGCTTCGCGCTGCCGCTTCAACGATTTATGTGGCATGCTTTGTGCATTTTCATACAATTCATCTTATCTGTCAAAGCGAATCTGTCACGTAAAGCGAAGCAAAAGTTTTATGTGACATCAGCTTTAGAATGCAGAAATGGAGTTGAATTTAGTTGCATTTAGGTGACGAATTTTGTATATAGATAAATGTACGTTTAGAGTAGCATTTAGAGCTACTCATGAAACTTTTGAGAGAGTAATTTATTTTTACGCTCTAATTACAGTCCGGAAAGCGTGTGGAACAAACCTGTTATTTCAAATTGACTTGTCGCACATTTCTGCCCGGAAAAAGGTCCTGGCTGTTTGGGGCACGAAGAAGAAGACATTTACGATCCAAAAGTGGAAGGTATTCGCTCTCTATTACCCATTTTTATTACGTGAGGAACGCTTTCTGGGCTGTTTAGGTCACCCGCGGGGGTCTCGTTTGGAACAAACCTAATACCACCCTATATTTAAACTAACCCAGCAAACATTGACGTTAGTTATCGATTAGAGAATGATTGGAGAACTAGCCACATTCTCCAATCACAAACGTTAGAGAACGACTCGAGAAACTATCGAGAATCATGGCACTCTCCACAAAAATTGGACATAGTTCTCGACTCAAGAAAATATTAATTCTTTGATCGTACTCTAATGTTGATCTCTAATGGGACATTCGAATGTGAATTTCAAACTATTGTTCTGCTTCATTAAACAAAACGCTGTTTGTAAAGTTTGTATTTAATGTATTTGCCATAAAATAATAATGAATTATTTGAACTTAAAATAATTTATGATTCATTCATTTGGAATTTTGCTTATTTACATTTATTTGAATTTGCGTTGTTTCTCTAATCTCATCGACTCGAGAACGATTAAAGAATTACCCTAGTCATCTAATGTAGAAATCCAAATTTCTCTAACGTTAGAGACTGCTGTGTTTTCTAAGTAAATCAAACCATAGATGCAGATTTTTAAAATATATCGACTCCCGCACCACCAACCGACTACATTTCTCGGAGAGTTATTTCCTTTCATGTAGGTAGTATTTTTTTCTAAATAACTATAAATACAGGTTTTTCAAATATCTCGACAAACATACATAATAATAATAATTATTATTATTTATAATATAATAATATTATGTACTACATACAAAGCAAGTTAAATAAAGGCTTGTAAAAAGGGGAATTGCTTTTGAATGTTAAAGATCGAATTATTTATTTTTATTCAAAAATGTAAAATCGATGTCTGAGGTTACGAAAAAGTTGGCGGACACAATGCCACAACGGATGTAGTAAATAACGAAGTTGAAAGAAGGGCAAACTACATATATATTAACAACCGATATTTTACTTTGTTTTTGTTAATGAATTGTATGTACATACGTACCTATTTTATTTTAATTCATATTTTTATAACAATAAAAATCTAATTTAAAATGGACCTAATGCATTAAATATCTCTGAAAAATCTAAAAAAAAAATCCATTTATAAATGACGAACACTTTTGTTATGTTCATAAAAATTTAATTAAAATATCGGCATTTATAGTACAAAACCGCGTATCAAGATAATGCAAGACATCATATGTATGTATGTATGTGAGGTTGCTCAAATTTTACCATTCAGTATATTTAACAATAGATATTCACCTATAATAGAGCAGAATCGCATTGTCCTTTCAACCAGATACTGCCATAAACATAAGATTATATGTAAAATTTCTATTTTATTTCATTAAAATTAATACGACTTAATGGGAATGATGTCAACATTCGTAAATTTAAATGAAAATGAAATACATACATAGTAAGGCAAAGACTATTCATATTGCCGAAATAATGAAAAAAAATGAAAATCCAGACTTATGACTTACAGAAAGTTAAAGGAATTTATCAAAATACTGTAGAAATTACTCGTGCATTCTATTTCCAAATACCTTCAATTCTTCCAGTTCTAGTTGTTGTTTTGCTAATAAGACCTCTTCTCTTTGCAGCTTCTCTATTTCATAGTTGTGTCGGCGTTGCTCCTTTAGATTATCATTCGTAACGTCACTGAGTGTTTTTATTGACTTACAAACTTCCTTTAGGCCCTGTCTTATTTCATTCATAACCCGGAAATTTTCGGTTTGCAAATTGACGTTTTCTGTAAGAAACTTCGTAATCGTACTTATCACAGTTGCTTGCTGTCTTAAAATCTTGATTAAGTCATCACTTTCTTCTGTTGCTGTTGCATCAATTTTGCGCTTTTTAATTTCAACCTTATCCTCACTACTATCTACTTTAATGTTTAGTCCACTTGAAGTTGGACATTGAGCGAAATCTCGCACACTTATGTTTTCGGCCTCTGTGGACTTCTCATTACTTCTATCTTCACAAGCTCCAACAGCAACATCATAATCTTTTGAATTTTCATCATCTTCCTCGTCGAACACTAACTCGTCTTTGACAATTGTGTCGGTGCCCTCAGAGATCGGACTCGAATCTTCTTGCACGTCTGAGCTGTTATCAACGTCGACATCAGCTTCAAAAAGCTTACATATACGAGCTAATTCACCTTCGGCAGGCGATAATGTAGTCTTTTTATATAATGTTTCGTCGTCCTGTGCGACTGATGCATTGGCTTCAATTTTTTCAAACATGATCTTTCTTCTTACTGCTGCGCGCCAATCTATCCAAACCTAAATAACCATAAAAAAGATCTCGCTACACATATATGTATGTATATATTTATGTACATATGTGAATGGATTAATAACCTTCTTCCACCGCTGCATTGGTTTCTTTGGTGGTCCCCGGCTATTCAGCTTTTCTGCAAGAGCTTCCCATAACGCGTTCCGCTTTTGTTTGCACTGAATCGTACCACACGCAATTCCGGGGTACTGTTGCATGAAGTTTATCATAATGGCTTCCTGTGCGGCGTTTTTGTGACGTCCCCTTTATATGCAAATAATACAACTAGTTAATCAAATCAAAGTTGCAAAAAATAACTTACATTTCACAAATGCGTAGCTTATCCTGTCCTTCTGGTTTTTGTGTATAAAATTGTACAATGGCGTATTTTTCAATTGCCAATACACACAGAGTGGTTTAAAATATCACCAATACGCATTTTTGTCGTTTTCATTTCACACCAAATA